AACTGCCATGTGATTGGTTGATTAGATAATTGCATTAATGAGAAATTGAACAGGTGTTCCTAATAATCCTTTAGGTGAGTGTATATACACTGTATATATTGTTGTGTTACAAGTGTACTTCATTATTTCGTAGAATTGAGAGGGTGTAACACTATTAGTTTTCTGCTAAATCTTCAACTTTATTTTTGCCATAAATCATAAATACCTTTTTTTTTTATTAAAATGTTTTTGCTTTTGCACAAAATACATTATATAGATAATTAATACTCTGGTTTGTATGACAACCAGTAGAAAATGTGCTCATACAGAATTATTCTTATTAGTGTTTTTCCCATCCTTCTGTCAATCTATTTCTCTTCACTGCTTTTGTGGTGTACAATTTATTTTAATTTATAATTCAAAAAACACTACTGCCTTCACGTTTTGGCTGCAGCTGAGCAGATCATTCTAACACTAGTCACATGTTTCAGTTTTGTCTCGTGGTTAGTTTGCTTGTCACCTGGATCAGAATGATACAATAAGTTCACACAGTTTGTCAATAATATGCTATTAACTAAACAGTAACAGTAAAGAATAACCTGTAGCTCAACCCCAAAAATCAAGTCTGATTTTACACTTTATTGCTACATATAAAAGGGCTAAGAGTTTTGTACACTAACATCCAAAATGAAGGCATTTTTCTCTGCTGATAGTTTTGATAAGTATCAATACATAGTGTTTATATAATTTTATTGTGTATGCCTGTTTGGATAAATATGACTGCATAGAGAGCCTTTTGGGCTGACTCAGCTGACATTGAGTGGCACCTGGAGACGAGTTACACGTAAGCATCTTTGCTGAAACAGTGATTAGCCCTGGTCTGTCCGATCTCTTCATCCTTTTCTGGCAGCGACGAGGGGACAGGCCTTTGGATGGGGGCGATAATGTAGGTGGCCGGCCTGCTTGGAGGTGGTGAGCTGAAGACAGAAGAAGACCAAATGAGTTGACAATAGCCACCTAGGTCCCAGTGACAAGTGACATCTTCTGGTTAAGATGCTCGGTACCTGGAACGCAATCCCTCTTTTCCGGCAAAGATGCTATAGATGAGGCCACCAGTGATCAGCAAGGACGATCCTCCCCAGCCAATGAAGACAGCAGCACCGATTTCATACCTGCAGTCGCAGTGAACCACATGACAGATGTCAGGTGATGACTGTCAATTGTCTGTGAAATGCTGGAACTTCTACCTGCAGGCCTAATGATTAGGGAAGGTCACGTATTCAAATCTCTAACCAGCAAGATATCACTGGAGTACCCCAAGCATGGCACCATCCCCACTCACTGCTCCCACAAAGCTAAAAAATAGTGGCCAGCTGTTATATCAAATATGGGTTATAAATGCAGAGGACATTTTGTTGTGGTGTTTCATCAATGACAATAAATCACTTTCACTTAGTGAAATTTTCTCTGCTTACAGGTTAAAAGAGTGTTCACTCACTTCTGGGCTTTGAAATTAGGGTCTGAATATTCCTCTCGTATTTTGTTTCCATAATAGGAGAAGGCTCCCATGCCACAGAGCCCTGAACAAAGACATGATGACCATAAGGAGCTGACTCCTAGACAGAACGGAACATGACTGGAAAGATGACAAGGTGGGAACACGTACCGGAGATGAGGTAATTCATTCCTGCTGCAAAGGTCACCCTTGCATTGGCTAAATCGGACCCGCCAATCTTGGTGCATTTCATACCCACCAGGGCGAGGACACTTCCAAAAAAGCCCAGGATGATGGAGATGATAACCAGGGCTCGACATACATGGATGTACACTGTTCATCCGGGGGGAGGAATACATACACAGGTTTTGTTTAGGGGCATCACTCAAACCTGTTTGGATTTTGACTAATTACTGAATCCCATTGTACACTGTAAAAAAGAAAAAATTAAGACAACTTAAAATTTCAAGGCCACTTACTGAACTAGATTTTTGAGTTTTGAGAGCAACTCAAACTTCCTTGTCAATAAAAGTTTTTAAGAAAACCATGTATTGTTATGTCGAGTAATTATTTTTCATTCAAATAATTTGTCTTTCATATCTATAAAAACTTCAAATTTTTGCTTTTACATACTAAGAATTCCTAACAAAAGTTGTTCCAACCTATTGTCTTTTCTTAAGATTTATCTTTTATATCTGTAAAGACTTTAAAATTTGAGTTTAGCATACCTAGGCTTCACCCATTGCAGTGCCCAGGGGTACAAAAACAGTGCCCAAAGATGTGCTAGGCTGGGCTTGAACTGGCAATCTTTGGGTCAGAGGTACAGAGGTTTTATCTAATGAGCTGCATACTGCCCACTAGGGTTAAGATGTGGCCAAAACTCTGAACAGTTATAAAACTGTAAACAGTGTTTTTGTGTTAGCACCTTATTCAGTGTATGTTCTGTACAGTTGAGCATGTGGCTCTGTGACCTAAGCCTCTCTACTCATTGACTAAAGGCCACCAGTTGAAGTCCAACATCAGCACCTGTGGGGGCCCTTGAGTAAGGCCTGTGACCCCCAGCTTCCTGTAGGTACAACAACTGGTAGCTGCCCTTCACAGTCATGTTTGCTGTCATTCACCACAGGGATCCTCAAAATGTGTCCACTATTATTTATTACTATCGTGTTTAAAATAAACATGCTAATTGAACTTATTGAATTTATCTTCATTTATAATAATTAGTTGGCACATATTTTGCAGTTTTGAATTCTTAACATGTTTAACTCAAATTTTTACGTTTTTACGCATATGAAAGAATCTGAACAAAAGAGAATAAGTTGCCACAACTTTTGTTGTTTGTAAAACTAAAAATCAGAAGTTTTATTAGATATGAAAGATAGATTACCTGAATTAAAAATAATTAGTTGTCACAATTATAATTAGTTTCCCCGTAGCGGTGCCACCGGCAGAGAGACCCGATATCCCCAGCAAGCTGAGAAGGAAGAGACGGGGGTGTGGGGCCGGGAGGGAGCGTTATCACCCAAAAGGGAGATGATACAGACCATCTCTCCCTTCCATCACTATGGGGAATGTAAGATCTCTCCCCAACAAGATGGGCGAGCTTGCGACGCGAATCTTGTACTAGACTAAATTCAGGCAGTGTAGCATAGGGTGACCAGATGGGTTCGGCTATAAAGGAGGACACCGACAGTCAAAAAGGAGGACAAAAATGACCAAATATATTTTCCAACTTCATAGTTACCATACGTGACATATAGCGGTTACAATTTAGTGAGCAACCTAAAAAACTGAAACTCGAATATTATCATTAGATAACATAAACAGTATGTTATGTTTTTGCAGTGTCAGAGTCTGCAAACAATAGGGTGACCAGATAATCTATGTCAGGGAGGACACTCTGAGCTAGGACAGGAATTGTAAATTAC